GACGGCTCCGCCGCACGTGAAAAAAATATATTTTAAGAAACGGACGCGCGTTTCTAGTCATCGCTTCTAGTCAGCCAGGATAATTCTAACCTAGCTAACCTAGCTTCCTGGTTAGCTGGATCCTGAAGAATCGTTTTTTCGCTTGGCGTTCATCTTTACACGTTTAATAAAGTCGTAAAGGTGAGAAAAAGAACACAGAAGGAGAAAGTATCGATATATCGCGAATATATCGTGATACATACCAGAAGGGGACAAAGAAACGACAAAAGTGCAAGAAGACGAAGAAGACGTTCAATCGCGAAACAATAAAGGAAGTTTCTTGTTGTCGCCGTATATACGTTGTCGTTATCGAATGGAATACGTTGATTGGCTTGTTTGTCGATGTTTGACGAACCCCAGATGAAATCCAGCGTGCGAACCAAGTGACGCGTGGTTGATCGAATCACCAGGAAAAAAAAACGAGTGCAAGTTTTGATGTACGTGCCAAAAAGCTCGTGTGTTATTTCTACGTAATCGGCTTCGACGAGAAGTTTTGTTTTGATCTTAAAGTTGTACCTTTCGCGAGGGTGTTAGTGGGGAGATATCGATCGCGGGACCATTGACGTCCGTTCTGGAGAACGAGCTTTTCTCCTCGCACCTTTGACTAGACTAACCTCTCGATAATTGTATTTTCTCACTTATAGCTTCGTATATACGTGTATACGTATATTATAGATATATACATATGTACATATATATATATATCTATATTTCCTACATGTGTGTTTGCGTGTGCGAATGAAAATTAGATGCTGACTAGTTTTCAATAAAAGTTTGAAAAACGTGCCTGTAACGAAATAAACTGTATTGTGACCAATGGAGGCTATTCCGTGAATCTCTAGTTTAACATTTGTCGACAACGGAAGTGGATCTGAAGACAAATATTATATCATTCGGATAATACGTTTCTTTTTCTCTCTCTCTCTCTCTCTCTCTCTCTTTCGCTCTTTCTCCTCCCTCTTTCTTTCTCTTTATGGTCGTAGAGCGATCAAGAAGTCACTTTTACGAGTCCAGATTTTTATTGAGACACAGATGGAATTTTGATACAGACAATAAACGTGAGGGTTTTTGAAACTTCGCATGACCGAGTGCCTGAACGGAGATTCTCCAATTACATTGTGATAATAACATCTGTGAAGAGTGCGCGATCTCTCGCCATCTTTGTTTTGATATCGATTCAGTGTGCGCAAGAAGATCGATCGATTGGCGAACGAGCCGTCGAAATGTTCGACTGATCGAGCTCACTTCGAGTCGGTGAGTTTATCAAACGCAGTATTCAATTGTGAAACAGTTCTTTTCTTGTTGATAGTTGGCTACAGTTATTTATCATTAGCAATGGCACTAGGATGTTTTAGGTTCGGCGCGAATTTCGCACGTTTAAATCCTATAAAATATTCTATAAAAATTCGTTAAAATGCTTTCAGATATTTAATTTAGAGTTGCAATAGATTTTTATATTTCTAATTATTTTTGTGACATAATAACGTAAAATCAATATCATACAGGAAAGGTTTTACTTGGTGGTATAAACGGATTAACATATAATTGGTAAATTTTTGAACGAATTTTATCTATGATAGAAATTTCTACAAGTTGGGTGATTTACTGTATACGATGTATAAATAGTATAATGTTTTTTTTATTTCCTTGCGCGATTCTCTAATATAGTTACAGAAAAGTATCAGTTAGCCGGTTCTTAAACATTTGAAGTCTGCAATTTATGCGATCATTGTCAAAATTTAAATTATATATATTATAAATATTCATAAGTTTATTTCATAAACACTCACCGTTAAATGTATAAGTATTAAATGTATGTATAAGTATTTAACAAAAAGGAAAGCAATTTTGGTTGCCCCCATTATATATAGGGTTCGTCTCTGTTTTTCTGCTAACACGTTTTTTGCGAACGACGACACAATCACATGATGCATCAACGGGCGAATCAAACTCTCCACGATATCGAGATAACGTTTATCCGGTTGCAAACTATTCGAAGGAAACGATTTGGCAAAGTTCAACATATCGTACTATGTACTAAGTACACGTGTCGAGCTACGCTTCCAATGTGATAAAGTATATGTTATCGCAACTCGTATGAGCCCTCCTATCGAAATTAGTATAGCAAATTAAAGTAGCCCATCTGCAACTTAACCTAACTAGTACGTTGCCATTTAAATATTGTATTGGTGTTAGCATCAAGTTGTTATTAGACAATTATGAATATTATTATATGATATTACTGTTTCGTAACAGAATTAAAAGCAGTATTAGTATGGTTTGCATATCGGGACCAATGAAGTATTAAATCTTCTCTAGTTATCAATGTTTGATACCATATATCGAAGTTTGATATAGCATGACCACCCATGGAAAATAATATTTTTCTAGTAATTATATTATGTTAGGAATTAAGATAACTAGTGTCACTAAGAGTCACGAATATCTGGGAATGCTGGTTTTCTATTTAATGACTACTAATGGTACTTAGTAATTGTTAGCTTTAAAGTTCTTGCAAAATTTTAGACATTTTTTTAAGCTGTTAAATATTACTATTAAAGATTACTAGATGGGTTATGCTGACTGTTAGTGTAATAATTTCATCTATATGTCGCATGTAGAATATGAATGCTGTGTTAATGTCCGTTAAAGTTAAAGGCAATTTCATCAAATTTAGATTTCTTTCGTTACACAATACAAAATTTATTCAATAAAGCAATACACAATGTTACACGAAACAAATAGAAAATCGCCAAGAAACTATAATTAAGAGAAAATAAAATATTGCATCACAATATCTACTTAATAAACACTACAAAACGTATAGAATAAAACACGCAAGATTACATGGAATAAAGCAAAATTTTTAGAAAAATTGTAATTACAAGAAACTAACAAATTTCGACTGAGCGTCTATTTAATAAACGTCAAATATTTACAACTAGATATGTAAATTAAGAGAATCAGCGGAAATATTTCAAAAAAATATCGTAATTCATATTTTTACGAATTTCAAAAACGCAACTTTGACGGAAATTTTACCTACTAAATATCATAACAAATACCAGATATACTTTTGCCTGGTTCTATGCATTCTCGAATCTCCAAATTTTCTATAAATGCGTGAAAATCCGCAGCCTAGTAATTGAATAAAAATCATAGAAGTAACATTTATTTAAATATCTTTAGATGGAATCGAATCGCACATCAATTTATAAAGTCCGTTGAACACAGATTGTTATTTCCAGCTGGGAGCAAAGAATAAAAAGCTGGTGGTTCATAATATAGCGAGACATTACTCGATTCGATAGGGATAGCTTCTGGACGCGAGTGCAAAATGCGACGTGTATAGAGAAATACGCGGTGGTCGCTGACCCTCGGTTCGCGTTCTACGCTCTTGTATAATAAACCGAATTCGATCGGACGACAGCTCGAGCGGCAACCTCTTCTCTCTCTAGCCTCTCCACGAGTGTTCTCTTTATTGTCACTAGTCACTAGCAAAGAGAAGCATCGAGCGGGTGGACCGTCTATTGCTTTTTGCTCGAGCTTTCTTTTTTCATCGCGTACCCCCGATAGCCAATAATAATCATTCGCGGAATTTCACAATACGAGAAACGTGCGATCGGCTTGCTGAATGAACGATTCATTCCATTATCTTCTATTTTGAAATAAATGGAAAATTCGCGGCGGAATTTGTCTCGATTGTAACTTGACGCTTATCGTGTAATCACACTGTAATAGATAATGATAAATGTACATCGGTTGGAATTAAATCATCTTTTTTAAGGGACTTTATCGCGCTCTAAATAATATCGCAACATTTCCAGTACCATACGAACTGGACATTATATATTTTCATATATATCTAATATTAATAATGGAAGATCATAGGGAAGGAATATGACAAGACATATCTTTTATACTTCTGTGGTAAATGTACTACGTATTTGAAGTCTAGTTACCGAAGAAGCCGTGTCTCTATATAAGTCCTGAATTAAATACGCGTTTTTATTATCGTAATGTCGCTTATGCACTTATATTTTACTTTTCCTTTTGCAGCTTAGAAAAATTCATCACCTACTTTGAAAAAATTTATATAGATTATCCCCGTTTTCAATTATACCATAACGTAACATTCTATTTTAGCTGTTAGATAACCTCAAAATCAACGAAAATGGACTTTATATTTTTTACGTGAAATCTACAATTAGTAACATGGCGTATTTCGCTCGTATCTAATATTTGGTTATTTAAGCGTAATATCGAGTAAAGAAACCTGTTCTCTGAGTTACTCCGTACTGTATTTTTCATCTGATCTTCAATTAATATCGTTTCTACGTGTACCTAACATTTAATAATTCAGTTATTTTGTCCGATATATCAAATAACGGAACCTAACCTCTGCAGTATTGCGTACCGTGTTCTTTTTATGCTTTTCAATGAACACACTTGCTTAAATATGCAATGTCTCATTTGAATCTTGAATCTAATATTTGATAATCCAGTTTAACCTAAAGCTAACCTTGAAATTACTTACGTATGCTGCAAGCTTTTTTTACTTTTCACGAATTGAAGATAGTAAGACAAGTATTTAAATTCGTCTTATACTTAAAGAAAGTAATAGATGTATAAAAAGCATTGGAAGTAATTGTGCTTAGTCGTTGTCGAATGCTTAATTGTGGTTAGCGTTTAACGTCCTTGTAAAGGCGAATCGCGTGTTTGACCGGCAATAGTCGGTATTGGAATCGCCTTTGATTTGATCGCGAGAGTCGACGGATTCACGAGTGTGATATAATTACGATCGGTGACGGTGCAACATAATTTCGCGATGCACAAGATAGGCACGACAAAAATAACGTTTGCCCGTGAAACGCGTGTTAATTCATATAGCGAGAGATCGCGTGCTCGGAATGAATGAAAGGGGGTTCGGTAAATATAGTTGATGGAGTTTAGAATTAGAACAACATTAAAGCCTATGTTTTTACCGGACTCGGTGTATCCGAGCATTGGAATTCATCAGTCGAGAGAAAGCTATCGAATGCAAGCGATTAATTGATCGAGTTAGATGCAATTTTTCTTAATTTCCAAATAATTTTTATTATTATACGATACAATTTTATTACTACAATCGAACACAGGTTTCCAATTAATCGAAGTGGGTACAATTCGATTTATCGAATAAACGTTGGCAATCGAATATTCGAATAGGTTATAGACGGTTAAACCCGATGAAAATCGTATCGTATCGAATCGAAACTACATCGATTGTTCCAAGTTCGATTAATGAAATTGACCGATTTCTCAAATCGAATCTATCGCAATAGTTCAAAATTTAAGCGTAGAAATAGTTAGTAATTTCAGCGAATCTGAAATTTGATTATTGAAGTTGAACATTATCGATTTATCCAACCAAATCGTATCAAACATTTGAAATTTGAAAACAAAATTGGAATTTTTCAAGAATCTAGAATAATCAATGAACTTATCTGCATAAGCACGAAAGTTAAATATTTATTAGTATTACACCACACATATTTACGATGTTTTTCGATAAAGTGAAGTAGAGACACTAGAAGCATCTCGAAGGCCCCTTCGAAATACATAATGCATTATCTAATCACGACTGGTGCAAAGGTAATTTGATTTTTCTACTCGTCTGTTGCTGACATTACAGTAGCGCAATATTATCGTTGATTACACTTGACGTACCTAGCAATTGCCGATTATAGCAAGGGACCGTAATTTAAATGGAAGATGGAAGAGCATTGAAAACAAAAAAAGCTGACAAAGAGAAGAAAGAAGTACACACTATTAAACTAGTCTGCAATTACCTTAGTCTGAGAACATTGTAAATTGCTCCCACAGATTCATTTACATAAATACGTAAACACACAGTTCATTTTATTTCTTCGTCCATCGATCTTGATTAATTATCGTCTGATAACATTTACCGAATGGCTTTTAAAATTCAAACGAAATTTCGTTTTTGCCTATTATGTTAATTGACGAAATTTTCTCGGTTCTTGAAACTTTCACTTAATTACTTTTCAATGGATTCCGTCAAAGTATGTAATATATCTTTTAATTCGATATTTAAGCGATATCAGTTGAATTATAAGTGACTGCGATACTTTGGTATAAAAATCGAGTTAAGTTATGTAATTTAATATCTGTTCTATTATCTTATAATATGCGATAAATAGCATTGTTAATTTTATCAATACAAATTACAATTTATATTCGGTAGTATTCAATTTTTTATTCAATTTTGTATTGTTATTCATTAAACGAATGAATAAGTAAATATGATTAAGTTTTTTTTTTTTGTAAAAAAGTTAATTTCCAAACTATTATAGTTTAGGTTATCTACTACTCAACGATATCATCTAAAGATTAAAAAAAATATATTCTAATTCATTAATAGAAATTTTTCCAAGATACTGACGATGGTAATATTACAGAGATTAAGATAGATAATCCTGAGAATATCAATAGTAATAAAAATTTGTGTAGATATTTTTTTACATTTGAAATAAGAAGTATATAGCAGCTTTAATAAGTCTATGCGTTTTCCTTTGTTAACCATCATTAATTGGCACGTAATTCGATGTATCTGTACTCCGCATACACTTTGAGGGAAACTCAAGTGATAAAGTCGATTATTATGTACATTAATTATCGACGATAAAATGGAAAGCGATCGATCGTTTATTACGCGTTTACTCCATAGTAATGGCAATAACGTCGTAATTAATTACGTTATACCTAGTTCCATCTGGATTTTTTTCAGAACGACGAAATTAGGTTAGCTTATTGTTAGTTTTAGGTTAGATAAATTAACATGAAAAGGATGGAAAATTCCATTTTATTTTTACGAATATAATTTTCTTATTTTTATAATGCGATCCCTAAAAATTGAAACGAACAAAATATTAAAAGAAATACTAACCTATAATACATAAATAATAATTAGAAAGCCAAATATATCTTATTTCAATTTTTCTCTCTGTCTCTTTTTTTATATAGTTCTATTGTTCTAATTTCATATTACTGTTTTATACATTTTTTTAAATCGAATTTAGAGCTTCGCTATTACCTAAAAAAAACATTGAAATTAAGTTATAATTTACTATTTCAAAAAGTTATTATAATATTTTTAACAGCATCTCATACGTCATTCGTATTTGATTTATCGTTTTTAGTATGTTTACAAATTAAAAGATCCTATACAGTAGCCTTTTGAAGCGAGTATCGAATGTACTAACTCGATCGGATTAAGCGAAAATTGATTCATTACTGCTAACTACCATCTTCGCATCGGCAACAGGAAAACGAGAGAGAAATGTTTCGTTTTATCTTGCATCGTTCCTTATCAGCGCCATCCTTGTAATATCAGAACCACGAGTTAATTACAACTTTGTTGTTCTACGATCGATAAAACATTGCGTTAAATCAATTGATTGATCTTGCCTCTGTTTTCGCTCGGAATTCTAATTACGTATTCATATACAAATGTCATTTCGAAATATTACTTGTTGTTTCTTTAAACGATTAGTTATTATTTTCTACGAATTAGAAAAATATTTTATATAAAATGGAGGAATGAAATCTTGTGGAAAATATGGTAAAAGATGATATAATTATAAAACTGTAACTTCCTTATAATTTGTTTCACATTTTCGGATAGGTTATTCATACGTAATTGAAATACGATGACATTGTTTTGTAATATTTCGTTTGACTTTCTTTTTTTATTCTTATCATCAGAGTGACAGAACTATTAACTACATTATCGACATGTCGTAAAAATGTGTAATTATCTAAAAGTAGAGTAATTAATATAATAATTATATAAGAATAGAACAAATAATCCTACTTTTATATATTTGTTGCTTGATTTACATAACTCGAGCGAATAGTTTTACTTAATACGGGAAAAGAACTCCATAAATATTTATGCTTATTTATATATATATATATATATATATATATATATATATATATATATATATACATTGAAGAAGTTTTAATTGAACTATAGACATGAAACAAGTAATTCACCATCGATCAATATGTTGGATAATAATGAATTAACGAGAATCTGGATTTAGTCACGATTACTAATGGACAAATGAATCAGCTCATCCCTAGATTTGTAATGTATTCAAGCGATAGAGATATCCACATTTCAATAGAATTCTGCGTCCCATCCGCGAAGAGACATTCACAAACAATGCGGTTTAACGTAATACAGAGTTTCGATGTTTTCAACACGTTCATCGTCACGTGTATCATCGATGACCCAACAGCGATATTTACATAAAATCGGCCAGTAATTTTCATGACGAGATGAAATCGAAATTATTTCCAGTCAGTTTTAAAATTTTGTTATAAATTTGCAATTCTATTAATTAATAAGAATTTATTGGTTAAGTGAAATAATGAAAATCGAAGTATCATTGTATAAATATTAGATCATGTTTTACGTAATAAGATTATAAACCACTCGATAATTGTCTCTTGCACGATTATAAGAAAGTGTATTAATTCAAGTGATAACTTGCTTTTATGAAACATTTTTGGTTTAAAATAAGCTATATTTATCGATACTGTTTACCTCGAAACAAAACTTATTATACACTCCAAACTAACCTAATATAGAATTTGTGGGAGAGAATTCATGTTCATAAGAAAAAAAAATATCAAATTCTTCGCAATCTAGTTGTTTTCTTCCATTTTGATTCCATTTATGTTACTAATAACCAACGTCTGACAAAATCTGTTTTAATTAAAAAAAAAAAGCCTAGAACACAAATATTTACAACTCTTGTCGATAAAATCATTCAAAATTCCCGCGCAATGTTTCTGAGTAACAGAACGATAATCGAAAGTGAGGTTAGTCGAAAGATAATGTAACTTCAGTGAGCTTCAATAGAGGAAGCACGAACGAGACATGTCCGTTATTTTCCGTCGAATTTAATGTGTCATCGAAGTTAGTTGACTGGTTCTTCGGACGACATTAATCGATACACGAACGCGACACGTGCTTTATACACGTTTCACCATTAGACTTGAAACGCATGGTCCAGTTCTGTCGCGCACGTTTCGAACTGCATGCGATATATAAGCCTTTTACATTCTAGTTTTCTATGGGTACGCGCGCGCTTTTTGTTTTCAAACCGTCAGTTAAATCACGTCCCTTTTGTTCATCGTTCAAAAGTTGCCGCCGTTTCAAACTTGAATTTCATCATGGCGATGGTTGAAACGTCAAAACTTAAGTTTACCTCCTGAATTTTTATTTCTTGTTATGTTTTATCATCCTCTCTCGTTTATAAAGATGCGATTAATTTTATTGAATGGCTTCGTAGGTTGTTTGAAAATTCCAATAGTCTACTAGTAATGGTCTACTACTAGTGAATTATATATTTTTTTTTTAAATTTGATTTATTAGCCCTGCTATTTCCTCTGAGTTATTTTTGACTCGATCATAATTTCCTAACTTGCTGATGAATATAAAGAAATTGTTATTAATATTTCATATCGAATTTCTATTTTATATTGAAAGTGAATTCTCTTCAGAATTAAAATATTTTGTTAAAAGAAGTAATACTCATACTCATCAAGTTGAATGAGCAGTTAACTTGAAGATTATAGCGGGATAATAGCAAATTAACTAAAAAATATCATATAGCAGGAGTTACAGAAATAAAGATTATTTTAAGAAGTATGTTTAATCAAAAGATTATATAAATCTTCTTTTTATTTCAAAATATACGATATAATAGGAAAATGATTCTTTTCTATCTTATGAATATAACCTACATTCATAAGGAATGTATTATATTTACATTTATGTATTATAGTTACACTTAAATTATTTAAATAATTCTAACATCAATTTCAATAATATTTTAAACGCCAATAAAATATTCATTTAGTTATAGGTTAATGTAATAATATTAGCAGTTATTAATATGATTAATGTTTCAATTTTTTGTAAGGAATATAAATGAAACAAGGGGATTCTTTCTGTTTCAGTGTTTTTAATATTCCATCCACTGGTTCCGAAGGTCTGTCCCATCTCCACAACGCCGTTCAAAAATGGGTCGGAAGAAGATTCAAATTTCGCGCATCACGGACGAACGGAATCGTCAGGTACTACAAGTTTACATTAAAAGAAAACCCTAACTTCATAAAAAGAAAAAGAAAGTTAAATAAATTACGTAGTAAATTACGTACGTGTTTTTTATAAATGTTTCTAGCACAGTTTCTTTTTCTAATACAACGTTTGTATTTGTAACCTCTATAAACATAAATACCAAATGAATAACACGGTGCCGATCTACACAAAGCATTGTTGTGTACTCTAAATAGTGTTATCTACGCTAACTGTACGAGTACTAGAAGCCACAAGTACTTCATAGAAAATATCCGCTATTGCGTTACATTCATTCATTGTATTATCATGTGTTGCCAACTACTCAAAACAGAATTCCATTCACACAAGTTACTAGTTATTATTGCATCATCAATGATGTTATGGCGATATTAATATTTACATAGTGATATTACGAATACATTAAATTTAAAACTTGAAATATAGAGAATAACTCTTAAATATGAAAATACTATTTGTATTTTATTAAATAAATATAATGTAAGATTGGATATAACGTAACGTGAATATTATATTCAAAAAATATTAAAGATAAAATATACTATTCACAATATCATATAAATAATAATCTTGTTACGATACTGTTATCACGATATTTAACGTTTATCATCAACGTAAAAGTAAATAGAAGCAATGAAAAACGCTAATGTATGGCAGATAACAATCGTATCGCTTTCATTAACTTGTATTACTGATTAACGAATAATTTAGGATGGTAGAGGCAAATGGTGAAGGTGATTGATTCCTAATGATTGTCCAACAGGTGACATTCAACAAAAGGAAGTTTGGGGTAATGAAGAAGGCATATGAGCTGTCGGTACTATGCGACTGCGAGATCGCTCTGATTATCTTCAGTTCGAGTAACAAGCTGTATCAGTATGCGAGCACCGACATGGACAAGGTTCTTCTCAAGTACACCGAGTACAACGAACCCCATGAGTCCCTCACCAACAAGAATATCATCGAGGTGAGCCGATTTCTCCTTGGTAATTTTCAAGCTACCCAACAACATTTCCGAATGTCCACCATCTAGGGAATGAGTAGATGATGGAATGATAGAAAAAAGGATAGCTATTATCTAGAGAATTTTGTTTGGTGAATAGAGTTGTTTAAGGTAATGGGATTTCCATACTGTGGGCTAAATTCTGTAAATTAAATTTTCATAACAACATTTTAAAATGTTGATTTACTAGAGAATTAGAAAGTTTATCGTTGGTAGTATTGTTGATATTATTTATTTTCATAATATCTCTCTACCTATAATCTTCTGTATACAATATATTTAAGTACGAATTACAGGTTGGTAGTTCTAGTGTTAACGAATTAGTTTACATAAAACTAGAAGAATTGATAATAAAATGAAACTATAGAAGTAAATTTTATTAACTATAAACTATTATCCTATTTCTTGTACAAAATTCTTGTAAAAAGGAAGTCTACAACCTATAAATAGTAACATATCAATTCACTGATATAATTAGTTGATGAATTATTGTGCAAAAGAATTTTAGAATACAGTATGCCCAGTATGAAATTATAATTTCCATAGTAACTATAGTCTAGTACTCTAAAGTATTGAAGAACTCATGTTTACTATATTTGCAATGAATATAAACCCGTTATAGCCTAGTTCTGTTCAAAAACGGAGGTTATATGTCTCACGATTATTCTTTAAAGTTGCCCTGTAGTATGATTCTTTATTTTAAATAATGGAAACGTTTCTTCGAGATTAAGATGAACGTGTTTCAAATCTGAATGAGTATTGTTTCCGAAAGACTTGCCTCACATTCATGTAAATAATGTCGGAGTATGTTTGAAGCGCGTCTCTGCATCTCCAAGGCCGATTAGACTGTTCCAGAAGATACTGTGCAGCGTTCAAATCGCTTAACCAATCCTGTTGAACAAACTGGAAGACGTTTTGTAAGAAAAAGATCTGAAAGCTACCCTTGGCCAATAAAAATCATTATTTACATACAGTATAATTATGTGGCCGTAATAATAATTATCTTGGGAATTCTATGCTCTGTAAATATTATTTGCTCTTTTATCTTTTCTTATAATAGCCAAAACATCTTATCAACGGGTCTTTTTCTTACAGCTATCTACAGCATATGATTTCTTTCATTAGTATGTTGATACAGAAAGCATAGTTTAGGAGGAATGTGTATGTTCTAAATATGCAGAAGGAAACAAGTAGATTACGTTGTATTTATGCAAATTGGACGTAGGATAATTTAAAAATGAGTTCTTCAATCGATATAAACTCTTTATTTTTCAAGGATTAATATTTAAGATACCACGCTTTTTCCATTATAGTAAAATTACTATTCAGAATTATTTCTTTTATATTTCTTATGAGAAGATGTATATTTCACAGAACGTTTAATAACGTTAGACAATTATTAGAGACGGTATTAAAAAATTTGCAATATTGTATGTTACGTAGCACTTTCGGTAGATTTAAAATTCTCTAGCAAATATTAATTCTGAGATTCCAGAGGCAATTCAGAATTTCACTGTCAAGTTTTCAAGCTTCCCAATAACAAAAGTATATTCGGTAAAATTGAAACTTGCAAATAGTTCAAAGTGTTAAATAAATGTTGCAACGTAACTTTTCATCGGTTTCAAAATTGCCAGAATTCTGAATACGCTTCGTCGTTCGTAAAAAAAATAATTATTATTGAAGTTTTCAAGAACCATGAATTTCGTACGGCACTGAACCGGTGATATTTTTCAAATAACCCCGCCCTACCGACGCGACAAGTCGTCGTGTCTGGATCAGCCGGAAGGCGAGCATATCTTGTAACTCGAGGTATCGCTGATATACCAGTAAATGAGAGATTTCACAGGGAAAAATTGCACGACGCTCGATACTCTCGCGTATCATCATTGGTTATTAACTTTTTCAAGTTTGTCGATCATCGAAATTACAACATGGGCATGCGGCAAATCTACATGCGCGGCGCTGCTACAGGCCCCGCTTCCTGCGCGCCTTCTTTTTCGCCGGTGTTATACAGGGTGGTCCATTAGTAGAGGCGACTGACCACCCCTGGTTCCGTTGCGTGTCTCGCTTGATGTTGCTTGAAAAAAAAAAACGTGCATCAACGAAAGACAGATGACTGGATGGAATAAGCAACGTACAAGAAACTTTCATTTTGAGGACACTTCTTTTGCCTGTCTTTGGCTTTCGTATGATTACGGATATTAAGGTTATTTCTCCGGTGGTGGTACAAAGAGTATATTGATATTTCTTATGTACTCTTTTTTTAGCGCTTCCCCAGGTTTATTTTATTACTTGAAGTAATTGGAATATATTTGTTTGTGATATAAAAAGTTATATTCTTTTTTTTTGTAGTATTTTATAGTCCATGTGCATAGTGTTATAATCTTGATATAATAACGAGTATTTGGTTTACAAGGATTAAAAAATGTATTTGAATTATGTAAAATGTAGCATAATTAGTGAATTTTTATGGACCACTCTGTATACGCATGAAGACATATTTCTCTTATTGTTAGACTTTCAGGTATATCAGCGATGGAAGTTACTAGAAAAGATATATCCAATCGATCGATAGGGAATAATCGTGCCAATATAAATAGTGCATTAAATCTTGTTGCAATATTTAAATCGGTATGGTGAGTCGAGAAGAATACCAGACAGGTTATACATGTTCAACATTCTTTTATAGGAATTTTACAATGCGTTATGCTTGAAACAGTTGGGAGAGAACCGTTTTTTCTAGTTCTGCTAACCGTCAATTTATTAATCCCTATAAAGAATTGAAACATTCCATTTCTTAAAAAAGGTTAATATATACTTGAAATCCGTAATATGTAGCGAAAGAAAAGTATTTTACAAAAGAGTGTGCAATTTGAATTTGGAACCAAAGCTATCGTTTGAACTTCTTTATTGAACTTTATTGAACTTCTTTATTGAAAAAAAGAAAAGTTTCAGAAATAAAACTAATAAAAGTTAATAAACGCCATAGAATAATTAACATAATGCTCGATACTATTCGATACAATACCAACGTTTAAAAAGAATCGCAACCCTTAAGTATCGACTAGCCCAATCCCCACATCGGCCCCATAACCCAGTCCCCCAATTGTTTCGAGCATAATAATGGTCAGGGTCGTTCATGGATCCTTCACACGAATCCATCGTCGACCATCGTGTCGCGTGACACGCGATATCTTCTCTCCTTTTCTCTCCCGTACACACCCATAAACGCATACGTAACCTCACTTACCATGCAAATAGTAAAAGTACACACACGAATAACCAATACACCAAAGCTACGTACATAAGAGCAGAGAGAAGGAAAAATAACTAGAGAGATTAGTCGACTGTGTGTATACGTATGTGTATGTGTGTGACGCTAGGCGTTTAAATTAACGTGCATGCGAAGGTTGAGTGCCCTCGGGCGGTGTGGTCACGTGAACCTGTCTGCTGACACTTGCAGGCACTCAACAAGAAGGAACATAAGGGCGCCATGTCCCCGGAAAGTCCGGAGCCTGACGCGATCGAGTACAATCTCACTCCGCGCACCGAAGCCAAATACACGAAGATCGACGAGGAGTTCCAACTGATGATGCAGAGGCACCAACATAACGGCACTCGGGTAAGTGGAGGTCGTCGTTCGGTGTTGTTCGACGGCCGACTGACGTCGAGAGGACAGACAGGGAGAAAGAGAAAAAGTCCCGGGCCAGGAGAATACCTGGGACGGCTGGAAAAATTGCGTGGATGTCCCGCAACGACGGTCCCTCGGTGATAGGTATTGTCGATCTTAGGTATTTTAGGCGTACGAAATTGCTCAGAGTTTTTAGTGTTTTTGTAATTTGATTGTGTAGAACTTGGGGTTTGGTATTTTTGGTGATTTGAGGTTATTGGGATCGGTAATCGATGTCTTTGGGATATTTGAAACTCCGGCATCTCTTCTCTTTTGTATATGGTGAAATTCTTCGATCCTTATATATTGCAAGAAATTTTTATATACGTATGTATATTGAGAGAAATTGTTATTTTTCTAAATCGTATCATATAGCAAGTTGGCATTTTTAGGTGTACACTGTTCTTAATGGGTTTGATCTTTGTAGAAACGGATAGTGCTGAAGGTGGGAGATTGTGTTGCTGAGTATTACGAGTGATTGAAACTGGAATGGGATTATTGGCATTTCTGTTGTTTCTGAATTTCAGATTCCAAGGATTTTCCTTTCTTCTGTATATTTTCAAAAACTATATTAAATATTAGACTATAACTTGAAATTCTATAGATTCTTATTTGTAATCTGAGAAATTCTTTATTAAAAAATTGTTTCAAACTAGTAAAATGACAAAGATATAATCGATATGTCTAAATATTATAGTTTACGATAAAAAAAAAACAATCGTCTTTACATCGTTATAAATATAATTTTTACCTATATAACTTCGTCTTTCTGAAATCTGATCAATCTTAGCGATGACTTTAAGGAAGAAAAATTCTTCAAGTAATCACCAAACTTCCCATAATAAATTTACTATCGACATCTAATAGCGTGCTGTTCTTCGTTATCAGTTTGAAAACGTATAGTAGCTGGAAGTTTTCAATGGCCGCCTGTTCCTTCTGGTGTTTCACTTTGGGAACCTCTGGCTCGGAGTTTTCACATGACTCGAAGCAATTCGTTAGTCCTCCTGGTTACATTTATTAGGTTTTAACAATCCGCCATCAAGCAATTTATCAGTGACGGTTCGATTTAATTCGCACCGTTTAATTTATTATCGCAACGTGAGCCTGTAAGTTTACAAAACAGCCAAGCTTGTACCTCTAAACCGTGATATTGGCAGACATTTAAAACCAGGGTATTATAATCTCCTGGTTAGTTGTTAATCTGTTTTTCGTTTCGTTTGTCGGACTTACTGTGTACATTGTATCAAGCTTCATCTGGTAGCGATTAATGCGGCATTCATAATTATTTTGGCAAGCAGAATAAGCAATAGAGGCTAGTTGTCTTCTTCAGAATTTGAGAAACCTTGAATATCGTATAACTGAAGAGTTTGAGTCTCGTTTATAGCGTTTAACTTAAATGTAAAAATATGGTTGAGGTGTTCCTTCTTTCCTACTTCTTTTTTTAAACATTTTTTATATGTATTATCTTTTTATAATTTGGATAATGTATATCTCAAAATTTATAATCACATGTACAACATTAAATATATAAATACGAAGTATTATCCTTTCTTTTTTTATATTTTCTTTTTTCAATCTTTTTATAGGAATTATTTTTGTACAATTTGGAAAAATATATATTCCTGAAAATTTCAATATCACCATTTATATAAATATAAAGGTATGACTCTATGTTTTATTTTTTTGTAGGAATTCCTTGCAATTTATTTTATTTATGCACAGAATGGATATAAATTTGCTTTTGCATTTATTTTGTTTGATCGGGTGTTTTATATGTATATATATATATATTTTTTTTTTATTTTGACTATTGAATTTTATCTAGCAGAAATGGGCAAGGGGATAATGAAGACGTAATCTCGAAACGAAGACCTTATCAGAATTTGCCAATTCTCTTGAAGTCTATCATTGGTGAACGTTGTATTAATAATGTCGTCGTGATTTACTGCGATTTCAGGCAATGGGACAATCTAATTACACTCTACCTGTATCCGTACCAGTAAATAGTTATGGCGAATCTCTACTTGGATCTAGTCCCCAAATGGCGCATACCAGCATTTCTCCAAGACCGTCGTCTTCTGAAACAGATTCAGGTATGTAATCGATTCTTAAACTTTACATATTGATCTGCAAGAATATTAATAGATTCGTGATGGAAAGAAAAGAATTTTTTCAGAATAGTATCTAAATAATTAGTAACTCAGTTATTCGGCAAATAAAGATTTTAACTTTTGCAATTTTTATTAGTACGACATATTAATAATAATTGTGATAAGTTAATTCCTATATTAGTTACTAAAACGATAAATCTTAATTTTGTTGTTTTTCTATAGTATATCCACCAGGAGGGATGTTGGAAATGAGTAATGGTTACCCACCATCGGCATCACCACTAGGAGGTTCACCTAGTCCAGGACCTTCGCCGGCACTAGGAGTCGGAGGAGGCAGTGCAAACAAAGGCAGTAATCCGTCTAGGCATTCACCACAACCTCCGCCTCCTCCACCGCCGCCTCATCCTCACAGGACTAATCTTCGAGTAGTTATTCCAACACCCCTTACGCAACCTCTCTCCGAAGACACTAGTTACGATGTTAGTACGCACTGTGCTTGATTTCAATGCATTTTATTCAGTGCATTCAGTTAAAAATTTTATTTTTTTTTTTTTGAGTTTGGAATTGAGTTATACTTTAATGATATTTCTATATACTTTATGTTTTTTATCATTACATTGGATATTTTTTGTTTGAAGTGAAATTTTCGTAATGAAATTTTAGAAATCTTTATTTTTCTTAATCTTGGATTTAAATTCTCATTTAAAAGGAACCATGAAAATTCAAATTCTAAATTTTTGTTAATTTTATGGTGTGTAATTCGCAAATTTAAAATCACTATATTTTAGTATTTAAATATAATGTAAGATATTTTATAGCAATTTCCTAGTGATCTAATAGTCTAACTGTGTGTAATTGTGTGCAATTTCACACACTATGGATAGTAATATATAGATACATGAAAAGTACCCTTATGTAATTACACAATATTTCATTCTAATTGGTCTTTTGTTTTGTGTTTCCGATATACAGAGTGGCCATGCACAATCCACGTTGAACACACCAGTAGTAGCACTACAAACACCATCAGTTCCAGCTGGATATTCTAGTTTTGGACCAACGGATTATTCCTCAGACTTAGGAAGCTTAGCATGGTCTCATCAGAGGTACGTTGATGACTTATCAATGTATTCGGCAGCCACCATGTCCAGCATCAGGTAAATCATATTTCATAATTATTCTTGTGAAAGGAAACTATATGTCCAGTTGGTATAATCTATCATTCAAAACTTTTTAAGAGTCTCTAATTACATTTTGTTCATTCACGTGTACGTCATCTTTCCTACAAACGAAAATATATTTAGAAACAAGCTTACAACGCAAAATATTGTATAAACGCTTATTCAAGAAAAGATTAAAGATTATTTGTAAAGTTTAATCGTGCTTGCAACGACGGTACTCGTTCTAACAACGGATCTTCTATATTTATCCAAGTTGATGATAAAAATATCAAACAACGTCCACTGGAGGTTTATAGTTTTTTTTCTTATTTGGATAGTTGTTCGTAGCATGCTAGTGAGTCGTATCATTTTTCACTGAGATTTAAAATTCTTTTTCGACAGTCAAATTTTCAAAGTTTTAAAACTATCTTCATATCAGTTTATCTCAAATCCTTTGGATCTAAAAGAAACATGGATCTTGAACAAAAATATTTTGTCGATTAATTACTTTGGCTACTCAAACTTATTAAATGCTAAACCCACTTAACAGTTCATCTATGAAGTGACAATGAGCTTTAACGATATATACTTATTTTAAAACATATTATGCATATTATACATTAATACATTGACGGCTTTTTGCATATTTTATCTTGCTTCTGATGCTAGTGTAATGTTTATAATAATCAATATGTGTTAGTAAATCTGTTAAATCATATTCTAGAAAGATACATAAGATAAACCTAATCCAAGCCATAGTTTCTTTTCAATTTAATTATTATATACAATTTCTTCAGTCGAGACCTGGTCTTATATCTTCAGTCAGCATATTCTCTTCAGAGATGTTATACTTTAGAGTGCGAATCAATCTTGCTGGAATCCTCATAATCGAATCTAATATCTTCAAATTTATTTGATTACAGTGGTCTTCCCCATCTGGCAGTGTCGAGCAGTACACCGCCACCGGCCACGTCGCCATTACCAGTGAAGATAAAAAGTGAACCGATTAGTCCACCTAGAGATCCTCACGGTGGCAACAGTGGCTCGAACAGCGGGCCGAGTAATACCAGCAATCTTCATCACACGACTCTGAACGTGGGACCTTCGTCCAGTACCGGTGCACCACCTCCACATCATGTACCTCATCCGGGGCCACAATCGTTGAATCTTGTGTCGAGCAGACCGAGCAGTAATCCACCGCCATCTCACTCCGGTAGTATAACGCCGACGAACCTTCCGTCACCTGGAAGCGGCACAGTGGCAGATATTCGAACGAGTCACTCGAACGCCGGGGGAAACGGTGGGAATAACTCAGACTATGAGAATGGACCGCTGATGAAGCGTTCCAGGATCACTGAGGGCTGGGCGACTTAATATCAATCGTAACGGTTAATCGCTCGATCGTTTCATACCTCTACGTACAACGGCGTATAGTGCTTTTGTGAAAAGTTCCGGGACTTGAAGTCAAAGACTCGTTAATTATTATACGCAATGTTCGGCCATGGTTCTTTTTTTTCTCTTCTTGTAGTTGGATGCGCGCGTAAGACGAAGAATCCTTACGAAGAGTCCGACTTTGGCTGGACAAGAGAGGACACAAATTTGTTTATATTTTAAAAGTCCAGAAACACACGTAACACGACACATACACATACATACGCATACACATAAAAGAATACGTTTGTTTGACGATTAAATAACGGTGCCATAATGTTGAAGCGTTACACGTATATATATATATATTATATTATACAATATATGATGGATACATATATATATATAATATCCATTATATATAAAAGATATATATATATGTATATTTTCATGTATATAATACAAAAGTTGTTTGTATATATGTCATTTATTCATTGTCATTTTCTTCGTGACATGGCATATTGTGTCTTTGATACTTGTCGCTAATGGCGAAGATATATTCTATTCCGAGTGAAGAAAGGTAATGGCGGTACGTTTAGAATTGATGTTAAGAAACGAATCGGGAGCACAGCATTTCGGAAGATAAGTGCATCGACAACCGAATTTCTAAGAGCTTTCGAAAACGTTTAATGGATTTACGGTTTAGAGATTTACAAATAATTGTACTTTGTTACTTGTTTCTTTTTTTTTGTGCGTTATGATGGTAGGTAGGCAAGACCGCGGCATAATCCGTTAATTAATGTTTTTACATAATGAATGCCGAGAGCAATGAACATAATTTCTCTCTTAATTGAATGCCTAGTCAGAGAATAATGATATTCGATTAGTATATAAATTTTAATTTTACAATTTTTCTTTTTTTTTTTTGTAATTGCAATATCTCTTTCCTTTATTCCAGAGAAAAGAATCATACTCTTACTTTATAAACGATCAATGGAGTCGTACGAACATTTTATTAGAAAATGTATACATTCATGAGTCTTAGATCGTTTAATTTTCTTTTTAACAAATCGTTGGGTTTGTTTTTAAAGTAGCGGAGTTTCTCCCTCTTCTTTTTCTTTTTTCTTTTTTCTTAGCGAACTAATTAACGGTCTATGTCCGCTAATAAACAAAAAGATGTTGAATAATTAATCGGCTGCTGTACTCAAAATAATTACGATATTCAGTAGAAAAAAAAATATGATCGAAAATTAATATATTGATTATTATGAGGTAATAGAGGAGATATATGCATATTACATGTGAAATAAGCATCTAATATAGTGTTGATTATTCAAACAGAAAAGAAAGGTATATACACACGAACTTGCAGATGTATACATATATACATACGTTATATACATTTTCCACAAGTATTTTGCACATTTGATATGAAGAAAAAAAATGAAAGGTGACACGGAAGGAAGAAACTTTGCAACCCTTAACGCCTAAGTCATACACAACGAGAGCTTGCACCTCTGTAAGCATTTATCTCCAAATAATAATCTATGAGAATTAGAAAATTTATTTGAATCAGTATTTAAATCCAATATTCATGGCACACGATTTTTCTATAACAGTGGAACACAGTTAAATTAAATATGAAATATAGGGAAAGAGAATATTTATTATATATAGTACATCCTTGTAAAATGCTTTGTTAGTCAAATCCATAATTAGTTGGCAAGATAGGGTTGCAATTGTAAAATGCAGAAAGTCTTCTTCCTAAGTTAAACCGCTTTCGGGATGGTCTCAGCCTATGCTTTACTCAATCTCAGGATGTATCCTGGTGCGAGCTGCTCTCAAGAGTCGTATTTGGTACATTACTGTAATTAATTAACGTAATTAATGGAATACACAAACGGTATATGAATAAATAGTGCCTGGCACCATTTGTGGCCCTCCTTCAGGTTGACTTGTTCACGTTGTGACTCGCATAAGGTGACTCGTCGACAAGCTACGTGTAAAGAAAAGTGTGTATCATACTGAAAGATACAAAAAAGTGGATTAAAAATAGTAAAATAAAGAGATGTTGAATAGAGTGAGAAAGAAAGAAGAAAATAGAGAGAAAGAGTGGTAGAAAGGTTTATCCGTACTACACAAATTAGTGGAATCATAGACTTTGTTTTACAACGTTCTGTCGACGAATCGACAACCTGGCAAGTCAGTCTTGGTTATACTGTAACCGAAGATTATATTATACGTACGTTAAAGAAGGTAAAGAAAGAAGAGTCGTATGAATCTTCGATATTAATTTGTTTCTTTACTAACGTTGCAGTTAGAAACTATCTAATGACTGTACGAACAATCGGTGTGCGAAACATAAGATATATAATGTATAGTCACTAATGATTAATCACAAATTTTTAAGATGATCACAAAGTGCAATCTCTTAGCCAACACACTTTTTTATCAAAGAAAAAAAAGTATAAAGAAATTGTTATTTTTCATAACGAAAAAAGTAAGATTTAATGTATTAAAAAAAAGTATATATATATATGTCTCCACTAGTTATTAAACATTTTCCTATTGATGCAAAATTTATTGTATTTGAATTGGTATTATATATATATATATATATGTATATATAATATATATGTATGTATGTATATATATATATATCGATATATATTATATATATATCTCTGAACTTAAGTGTACATGCCTGAAGTAAATCCTTGAAAGATAATCTACGATACGATTGCATTGTTTTCAATTTTTAAATCGCTACAGGTGGATCGCATTGAATAATATAATTATTGAATTATATTATCCGTTACTTGATATTTTACGATTATTTCTCGGCAGTGTTGTAAACAACCAGTGTTATTATTGTGCTTCATTTGTATGTATAAGACAAAGCGATTTGCACAAACTTTTCATATCTACATGTAATCAATAGAAATAATGATACTCGAGAGTTCAAAAAGATTCAACAAATAAATTTGGCACAAGACATAATTACTGATCATAAGTTTGAGAACGCTGCAAGATAATGTCGAATACTTTGACTGACATATTATATAGTATGTTTTCATATTTCAGAAAGATGAATGTAAGAGTTTGATTGAAGTAAAAATCTTTCTTCGTTTCATATCTTAATATAGCAGATAAGTACAAGATACACTAAAGAAGCTAATCTATGATGTCCCAAGTACATATTATCTCAAACTTATGTAAATCAATAATGTGAACTAGTTCAATTTTTTCTCGCTTAATGCACAAAATTCAAAATTCAATCTTCAGTTGTGACCTCATGCAATTTATACAGAGTTATGAAGCATGTAATATATTCTTTTACAATGCATACGTAGTTAATATCTCGTCTAGCCGATTATTAGGCGTACTTCTAATGCTAGACTGCCTGAGAGAAATCGTTCTAATTTGATCCACCGGTACTCATGGTCTCGTAACAAGGCAAGGATTACGATTTGCTTACCGATCTATTTTATTGTAAGATACCCACGTGAAAAAGTAAGAAATACGTAGTGGTACCACTTAAGGTAGGGAACTTGTTAAATGGTGTACGTTAACGACGCGATTGTGCGTACCATTTTAATGTATATTTTTAATATGATGATGAAGTAAGTTGCATAAGTTACACTCACATACACACAAATACGCGCGAGCAAATTCGATCTGTATCTATATCTTGTTCGGGGCACAACCGAGAAATCAATATGGAGTTTTGTACCATTTTAAATGGTGTATCTGTTTGGTCCTCTTGTTAAACTATTACGTCGGTTCTAACCTTGTTGAAAGATTATTTACTTATTTACTAAGTGTTATATATTATATATGACGTTATATAATTAATATTTGCCAATCTCTTATGATAAATAGAGAGAGACAAAATGGTACCATTATCCAATTTATTCTTGGAGAGAATTTCACCATCCTCTAAGTTGGATCAATTAAATTAATTTAAATAGAAGAATTTTATACTCTTCTATATTGGTCAAACGGTTGTACCTACAACAAGGGTTGAACGAAAAATATTCGATTGCAAATACGTAAAGCGTCGGCGATTATATAGTAGTTGAGAACTCAGAGACTATTATCGAAGTTGTTGGAACGCTGTGAAACGAAATGGACCATCATTTAGAAAATGTTGTCGTATGCATTAAACTATAGGACATACAGGAGTTAACAAGAAAAAGCATAAAAAGAAGATAAAAAAAAACGTAGAGAAACAGAATTAGAGCCTTTTGTACGGGAGCAAAGTTGTTGGACAAGACCGTTATCGAAAACCGTGTTTTTATTGGCCACGTGCAGAACTCAAATGGATGCTCGCTTCGATTTTTTTTTTTTTTAAACAAATTTCCCATTACTCCTCATTCTTCTTCGTCTTTTCGAAGAAACATTCGTTACTCGAGGATTTCGTGCAATTTCGAATAGTCGGATGTTGGACGGCTTTCTAAAAAATTAATTAATCATTTTGAATAGAAAAACAATTCCTTTTTAATATATATATCCGAGGATGTCTAAATATTCGAAGTTCTGGTCTCAAAATGTTTCGTCACTGTGGCGCCATCGTTACGTCGCGGAGGACCGTCTAAACATTGAAGAGATTCGATAATTTCTCCAACCGAAGTATTCGAAATTATTTGACGCATTCGAATGACTCCAAAACTCGGATATTTTTTAGAATAGAAAAGAAATATATATAATAAAAAAGATGTTGTAAATATATAAAAAGAGTTTAGTTAACGAATCGATTTATTAACCTTTCGTGCCTTTGAAAGCGAATCGTTGTGAACTGTTGGGAACCAACCGATTTTTAACAAGCGATCATTTTCGTTTAAGATGTCGCGGAACGATCGATCTATTCCGGAAAAACATTACGAAACTGGAAAACTTTACGAATAACGTCTCTTTAACGAATAGGAAATAAGATTTTTCCTAAGTAAATTTTATTTATTTGTTACTTATAAAGGGAAGGAGACAAAAAAAAATAGAAAAGAAATTGAACAGAAAATTCTCGTAGCGTTTCTTGTAAAATACTACATAGAAAAAAGTAGTTGATATTTTGTAATGCAACCGAGCTTAACTATAAATCAAGATTCTTAATGATAAAATAATGATATGATAATGAAAAAATTAAAGAATTTTGAAAATTCAAGATCTCTATTCTATCTTTATGCGATCTCGAAGTATCTCCCTATATTTTTCGACCGTTATCGCTGTTCGTTGTCACGGATCGATTGCGAAAAATCGAATCGAGTATCCGAGAAATCGATGTTGTAACTTCGATTTGAACTGAATAGAAAAAAATATAAAAGCGACATGTGTGTATGTATAAACATGGTCGAAAACTCAAAGCACGGCACAAGTATCACTTTTGAAAGGATGATATAGCGAAGCGAATATTTGCAGAAAAAAGAAAGAAAATGATGTTGGAAGAGATGGAAAGTTGAACTATAATTACTATACGAGGATGTATAAATGTACTAGCCACAACTGTTGTCACTGCAGAGTAAAAGTGAATCTAATATACATAAAATATATATGTATATATATATACGTATGTAAAAGTAAATTTAAAAATACTGAACATATCTGTAAAGCCACGTAGCATCACATTTTTAAAGGTAAAACTCAAGAATATACCGCCATTTTATTGTTAACCATCGATCGTGTGTTTATTGTCGAAACTTACCCTCCGATCGATCAATCGATAACGATCTCCCTTTTTTTTCAACGTTGTCTGTCTGATAAATAATAAAAAGGGAAAAAAGCTGAAAAAAAAATAGAAAAATATATATAAATATATAAAATAATCCTCGATTCGAAGGGGATTCTTGTTTTTCGTGTTTGTATCGATCGATTGATCGATCTATAGTTTCGAGACGCACGGAATCCGCGTGTATGGTTATTATTAACATACTTTTTAAATATTATTGCGTAGCGATATATTGTTATTTGTACGATATATATATATATATACATAAAGAAGCAAATGGTGAAGAATGAAAAATCTGTTTACGTTGCACTGTTGACAAACAAAAAGAAAGAGCGGCCCACTTGAACGTCGAGTGCAGAGTACAATGAAGAAAGAGCGAGAAAAAGAGGAAAAGGAAAAAAGTGTATAAAGGAGTTTAACAATAGAAAGAAATAACAACCACTCTGTATATGTAATTATACCGAAGTTAAAAAAAGTAACCGCGTAACGTGCTATATAGATATTATTATTAAACAGACAAACACAAACACAAGAAAAAGCAGAAAAAATATATTATGGCGTATTATAGAGTTGTGCGTTTAAGTAGCCAGTGATAAATCTGCGAAAACAGAAAGGAAAGTAATCTTTTTTTTATTTTTCTTTTTTTTCCCCTCCCGTAATTCATAATAGTGTCATTTATCGTGAACATTTCTCACCATTTTTCAAACAGAGACAATTCGATCATCTTTTTTTCCTTTGCATATCCTCCTTATTTGTTTCTTTTTTTTTTCGACCTTTTTTCGTTCTCTGTGCTCTTTTTTCTGGTAATATTCTTGAACTATTTAAAAATCGTAATTGTAATTCATCACCTCTGTCACGTGGTTGTCAAGATCGTTGTATATCCGTGAAATTTGCGAGACGATTTTACGAAGGACACGCTTATTCGTCTTGTTTGTTCATTGATAATGCACGTCGAAAAAGATGTCACACGCTGATGATGGTACAATAATGGACACACCAGAATAGAAATGGTACCGGCAATTGTCGCGCGAAAATCGAGCACATGCGAGTCACTTTCTTTCTTCTTACTTTTCCCCGTTTCGATAATCATTCACAAAAAAGTCGATCACAATTAAATTACGTTGAATGAATACATTTAAAATTAAACATTTTTGTAATATGCAAAACTAAAATTTAAATCGATAAAGACATACCTAATATTCAGAAATTAATATTAAAATAGCGTTAATTTAATAACGTATGAGCCTCTTACGAACTAAACCCATTAACTCCACTCTTTGCCAATTTCATAATTAATTTTCATATTCATAATTACACAAGTTACAAGATTTATTCCCACAAATTTATTTATTCTAATAGAGTGATATAAGTAACAGCGAATCCTAAAATTTGAAAAATGATAACACCATCACCTTTCTCTGCATTTTAATTTGTGGAATTGCTCACTTTGCCTTTTCCAAACGGCCGATGTATTTCTTTAATAACGTTATATTTTTTTTAATTGAGATTGCCATAATTAATTAGACACTTGTTCAATAATAAAACTATTAAAAATCCAGTATCATTCTGAGGATACTCTCTATTACGATTATATATAAAAATATTCTCTATTACGATTCTCTTATCTATTGTTATCGATTGACCATAATACTTCGACCCTTTTCATTGTTAAAATATAAGGATGACAGTAGAACCAACCTAAAAAAGATAACTTATTTTAAAGTGCTCGCAATTGCCCGATTTAAACATAACTAGATTACACGTATTTCTTTGGTGCTCGACATATCCGGTCGTTGTTACATGTTATTGTCAATATCCTATACGAATAATAATAATCATCGTGAATCCTTGTCAAGGCCCATCTTTCATCGATCATCGGTCATCGCGATTATTACTATTTGCTATTACTATAACTATTACTAGTACTACCACGATCACCACTATTATTACTATTACTATTATTATTATTATTAACTATTATTATTATCGTTATATCTGTATTATTATTAATTATTATTATTATTATTATTATCATTAATTATTATTAATTATTATTATTATTATTATTATTATTATTATTATTATTATTATTATTATTATTATTATTATTATTACTGATCACAAACTACCATACGCGCCGCATCATCCATTGCTCGGTCAGTATAATTATTAGCGAATTAGGTTTGAGAAATTAGGGAAAATTAATATCGATGATTATTTCGTACGGTCTCTATGCACATCACAAAAACTATTTCTCCTCGTACATAACAATACACTAAAATACACATATACGCATAAACATTTTACAGACGTATAAACACACATATGACATGAACACGTGCGCGCGCGAAACATTGTAAACACGCATTGTGGTTATATTTCAGTGTATCAGCATAATGATATGATGTTTCTCATAGAATACATTTTACTTGGTTTTTATATTTGGCAGTATTTTATTTAAGTGCCACTCGAGCATGTGCGAATCGAGTCGATCGATCGATCGAAAGATAGGTTAGTCGAATTTTGAAAAAAAAAAAATGAATTCCGAAATTTCAGAATAGGGAAATAATAATAATAATATCGATATCAATATATTTTTCGAACAATATTGTTTAAAATTGATTTATTATAGTACTAACGCCCCTTAATATTCTTTAAGGCTTGATGACATTTTTATGATTCTTTATATTTATATATATTAATTATTTTTCTTTTTTTTTTTTTAGATTAAATGTAGATAAATTTTGAAAATATAGAATGCAGGAGAATAAGAAAAGAAATAAAGTGTTAGGAAGTCATAGAAAAATTTGAACGTTGGACCACCAAGGTCATTCATAAATTATAGTGTGCTACGCAGAGAAAAATATCGGATTCGCACGTGCTTGGAAAGTGTTGTACCAACATCTATACATGGTTTGTTCGAAGCAAATGAACAATTTTTCACCAATTGTGATATAATTTGTACAGTCAAATTTTGTTACGAATATTTTTTTTTGAAGGTTAGATATCTTATACAATTAATGTATTTAACATTCGACTAACCTTCAAAGAACTTGCATAAAATAGGTACACAATAATTGTATTTTTTTCTAGTGAAATCTTTTTTAAATAAATCGATTGTTTTGATCAATTGATTTATCTTTTCGCACAAGAATTATGTTAGAAAAGGTGCCATTTTTACCGAAGCACAGATATAATATAATTCATAGTTAAATATTTTTCTAACGGTTCAGTGTTATAAGGAGAAAGGAAATTTTATAGAAAATGAATTCAAATTTAAGCTCGAATCTGAGTTTCTTCGATACCGGATATGATGTCGAGAGGTATGTGTGAGACTAAAAAATCATTAGTTTCCTATGTACAAAATAATTGATGTATTTACAAAATATTGCCTGTTCCATGGTCTTCTCTTCAATGTTAGTGGATTGTAAAATATGTAATATATGCATTTGTTATATTTTGTTAATTTGTGAATTTTTCCAGATTTAATGAACACTTAAAATTAAAATCTTACAAATTTAAGAGAATTAAGAGTCTTTTTAAATTAAAGAATTGGTTAATAGAAAGATAGTATCTTCGTTTCAAGAAGACAATATATATTAAAACACAGTAGAAAATATATATTTCATCTATTACAATCCATTCGCATAAATTATGTGGCTAGAAAAAATGTGTATACACATATTGTTGTGTAAACTGTGCGTCTTTGTTGAGCCATTGGACGTGTACGAATGAAATATGAATTTTCTATTAAAAATTTCTACATTTGAAATTTTTTAAAACTTATAATAACTCATCTACGAAAACACTTATATATCATGTTTTAAAATGAAAGACCAAGAATAAGATTCGCACACGTTCCAATAAACAAAACTACTAACACTGTGATGTGTTTCTGTGGTCATTGTAAATTCTTCTCTTTAATTCATAATCATGTTTCATTCATTGATCTCATGACTGTCCACTTCGTAAACATCTCTTTCCCCTTAATATATACATCTTCGTTGTTCAATATTCCTGATCATATGCAAAAAACGAACACGTACATATTGTCTATACAAAATACTATTCCTATACTTCAATATTTTTGTGGTTAAAATTAACGAATTACAAAAGAATTTTTTAAGCAAAATATTACTAGAAAATTGTTAAAATTATAAAATTATAATTTTAATATTTTTCGTGTATTTCATTTTTTCAAATTGTTTTGTGTGTCGAAATTCTTAGATAATTTTTTAATAATTTTGTTCTCTATCAGTGAGAAGCGCGTTTCTGCTTCATTATCTCATTGTCTCTTTCTCTTTCTGTTTTCTCGATAGGAACGAAAACACGTATTTTCCTTGTGTAAAGTGTCGCACCGCAAATGTTGAAACACCATATTACATGTGTACAATCCGTACCCATTGGATGTCGCTCGATCATCATAATCTATCTAAACTTCGACACTTCTTGATCTCAAGACTCTTTACTTTCAAACTTGTAATTAATTTTCTATCGATAAATCTTTCTACCACGTTTGTACAATCTGTGCACATGCATACACACACATAACACGTACATACACAAGTATACATGAACACATTCTAAACGAATACATAATGTGGTATACTATTGTGTAATCAGTAATCGGTGTAATGAGACGCAGAGAAGCGATAAATAACACACAGATACGCATTTTTTGCACCGACGTACTAACACAACTTTCATTGTGACGTCCACTAATGTAATTCATACGATCGTGTACATGTAAGATCAGCGCCGCTCTACGACTCTACTTCGCTCGGTTACGTTAACTAAATTTTCAGACGTTACAGACGTTCAGAGGTTTCTTGTTTGCCATTATTTGTTTAATGCCTTCAATATTCTAAAACATATAAACAAAAATCTTGAAAAGAAATTAGTCTAAAATTTACTAAGAATTAGCAAAAAACAATGTGTGCATTCAAGGTTATTGTAAATTACTGGACTGCAAATATCCAAACAATATTCATATTTTTATAAATATGATTAATGAAATAGAATCTAAACAAAAATTTGTTTCATTCTTTAAATATCATGTATTTTGGGTATTGTATACATTTTTATGCATTATATCCATTCTGAGGGGTTTTCCACTTTAAATTCCTCATAAATGCATAAATATCTGCAGTCTGTTAATTATCATAATTATAGAGCGAATTCAATATCCTGTTGCAACATGATCTTCAAAAGATCTGAGGTATCGGTAAAATATTTTCGTTGATTTATATTAGTATGTATGTATAGGTGTTTCACTTACAGTGATCTCGTTAAACATTTTCGCTATATATGTTTTCATCTTTTAGTAATAAAATGCATATTGCTAATATATTTTAAATTTAGTTAATATTACTCCAAGATCATGTTGTTACAGGTCATGGCATAAAATGTCTTTTTATTGAGCTTGAAATTTAGAGATGTATGACCTAAAAAAAAATTAAGTCAATTTAAAAAAGGAAATAAAATTCTTCCTAAGATATTTTTTAATAAAAAGTAAAAGGCATATTTTAAAGAAGATGTACGTGTGTTTAAAATTTTTAAATAATCGTGATTAATACAACACGTGGCACATATGACTCTAACAGCTTTTTAAGAGGAACACATGATATACAGAAGTCGCAAATCGTTCTCAAATATAATTAACAAGTTCAAGATGCTTTAAATAATGAACAAACATTGAAGAAGCGTGGAAAAATGAAATCTTACATATGCACGATCGTATTTTGTCCTCTGTAGAAATGCCTTATTGTCACGTGCCTCAATTAACAATTAAACTGTTCACCTGCTTACCAATTACTTGTTAGTATACGTATCAACAAATATGTACGTGTAATATCGCGTTATTCTTTGTACTGCTCTTGTAAATATATTCTGAACGATTACTGTCACCATGTGTCGTCTATGAAGTCGAGCATTTTTTCGAAATTATTTTTTTACCCCATTTCTCCTTATTCTATCCTTTCATCTATTCAAGACGCTTGAATCAATGTGTGTAAAATCCATAGTCCACATCTTATCATATTTTTTCAGCTTTATAATAATTGTTTCGCATGTATTCTTGTACATATTTAAACCATTTTTTTAACAATTAAGGACAAGTTCTAGAAATTACAATTAAATTTTCTTCTTTATAGATTTAAAAATATACTCAGTGTCTTCAGGGTGTTTGAAGTATGTAAAATAATGTGTAATAAAAACTATAAAACTATAAAACAGAAGTCATGAAAGCTACATACGTATATAGTAAAAATTATATGCAATATAAAATTATCAAAACTGTAGTAATGAAAGTTACAAAATCAAATCTTGTTATGAATACATTTTTTTGTTTCTAAACTTTACAAGGAGTAAAGGCATTTAAATTGTTATACTTACCAACAGTAGGCAACGACTACTTTTAGTTACTAAAAATAAAAAAATAAAAATTTCTGAATAATTTCATAGGAAATAGCTTAATTTTGAAATTTAAAAAATTATTTCACAATGATAAAAAAGATTTAAAAAATTATACATATATCATATATCTACATCTATCTGGAATTTGTTTGGCGCTTTCGTCGTTAAATGTTATGAGGTTATGTAAGTTCCAACCGACTGAAATTTACGTGTATTCGAAATTCGAATAAGGAAATTTTCTGTTGGTAAATTGTGTGAATATTTTCATATTAAGAGCATACTTGAAAGAAAGGAAGTGAAGAAGTACTAAAATTCTAAAATGCCACTTCCAGCTGCATTAGCTGCACGGCTTGCTAAAAGAGGGCTTATTACTGGATCAGAAAAACACGGTATAATAATTTTATTCATTTGTGCATAAAACACAGTATAACCAACAATATCATTTTATATCGAATTGATAATTTAATTAATAATAGTTTTTATCTTACTACTTTATGCTTCATAAGTACTATAAAGATCAAATTATTAATATGTAATTCAGAATGAACATAACCTTAGTGTTTTCATACATAATCAAATTTAAAAAATGCTGAGGATACAACATCATGTATAAATCAAATAATATTTTTAGAATCTACAAAAAAAGAATCAAGAAAAAAAATCCATGAAGAAGTAATAGCTGAAGATTATGATAGTACAAAAGATGATATTAACCAAATTGACATATCACAAAAATTTATGGTAAATATTATATCAAAAACTATTATAAAATATTAGATACAGTAACGATAAATAATAATGCAAATATCCATAATATAAAAATATTAAATAATAAACGTTTTATTTTAGGGATATAGTGGTTGTCCCAATAAGTATAATATTTATCATGAATGTACAAAAAAGTGCAAAGAGTTATGGGGTCTTGGACATGTACAACCTTCTGACAAATACTTGAAAAAGCAATTAAAATTAATACAGAAGTACCCCTTACCAGAAACCTGGAAAGCTGTTTATGACCCTGGATCGTTAGTATCAATTTTTTCTACTTATAATTTCTAGGGAAAATATGTTTATATCAAATTTCATATAATTATTTAATTCATCAATAGTGGCCAACATTATTATTGGGACTGGTCATCTGATTTGGTATCTTGGTTACCACCGGGCCATCCAAAATGTCAAATATCTCAACCAGCTTCTCAGTTAAGAGAAGAATTACATCTAAAAGCAGCAGATCAGGATGACAATATGTCTAGTGATGACAGTGGTAGTGAACAAGAGCCAATGGAAGTTAGTAATCAGTTTCTTCAATTTAATAAAAATGTAATGTCCAGTATATTTTTGCACTATCACAAATAATTGTTTAATTATCTAGGTGGATGAACCAGACACAAAGAAAGATAAAAAATTAGAGACTAGATCAAGACACAAACCAGGAGATAGTAAAAGAAATCAAAGATTAGAAAAATCTGAGAGCAAAGAGAAGAAAGACAGAACTTTAGATCCTATGGATCCAGCATCTTACAGTGATATTCCACGGTAAATTTCATTTTATTTATTAATTTATATTAATAAAGTAATTATGATAAAATTAATTTTCATATATAGACAACAACGCGTTTAAATTATTTGATTTTTATAGGGGAAAATGGTCTGATGGTTTAGCACGACACAATGAAGCTAAAACAGGAGCAGACACAACTGCTTCAGGACCACTTTATCAAATGAGGCCATATCCTAGTCCAGGCGCGGTTTTGCGATCAAATAGAGCTAACAAAACAGATTCAGAATCGTCTAACAAACCTAAAGTATCGTGTCCCGAAAAACCAGAATAAATTTCTCTTTTATACCATTTAGTCTATTATGCAATTTATTATACATGTCTAATGTAAATATAGTGTAACTTACAGAATTTGTCAGTAATCTTATTATTATATTATCTCTATATATAAATGACTGACTAATTAAATAAAAAATATTAACTATGATTTAAAGATTATTATTATTGTTATTGAACGTATAGTGTTGTATCTTATTGTAAAAACTTTTTAAAAAGTACGTTTTAGAGAACTGTTTCTTTGGACATGCAGATCTCTACTTAGGATAATCTCAAATTTAGTTTGAAAGCCAATAACAGACAAAGTAATATGTACGAAAAAAAATGATCGACGTTCATTTAACGTATAATTTACGATGTCAATAATTTACACATTTCTTAAACAGAAAAAATGATCACTTGTTTTTGAATCATTTTAATGCTACATTTTTCAAGCTAGTTTTGATCTAATCTTTATCGTTTGTAACATGCATCTATCTAGTTTCAATTTTACGTCAGTTATTTTTTTCAAATATTGAACCTTTCTGTAAATGCGTAGTTAGTTAAATATTACATAAGTATTGTAATCGCAAAATTGGAGTTTTAAAATACTTATCGAAAATAGTAACATTATCACAAATAAATAATCGCACAGTAAAATATCGACAGTAGTATACATGTATCAACAATATTCGAATAGTGAAACGAAAAATTTGCATATTTGATGAAATTCAATCGTGACAATTGCTACAGTTTCATGTATCATCACTTTTAGTTTTGTGTGATATTCTGGTGCTTTCAATTATAAAAACTTGATTTACGCGAATGGAATATGTTTTGATTAACATTGTTACAATTTTTAAATTGTTATGCCACAGTAATTTTTCTTTTAATTTTCAAGAGTTTTAGTTATGGAAAATGTAATCAAATTTGAGATAATTCAAATTCTTTGTAGAAATAATAGCGTTGTACAAGAAATCAAGAAAAAAAATGTATTAAAAGTCAATAGTTTTAATTATCAAATTAAATTCGCTATGATTCCAATTTTCATAATATTTTTAAAATTAAGCTTCGAATTATAATTATAATATTATAAATATATAATTATATAAATATAATATTATAAATATATTAAAAAATTCAGGAAGAAAATGCATTACTGGCTCTGAGCAAACCCAGACCGCGACGGCCATGCGAGTGTTAACCTTGTTCTTGGCCTACTTTGTCAGTAACGATGCAGGGGAGCAAGCTCGATATTTCCAAGGGATGATACGCGAATTATAGAACGAATTCTCTCCACAAAACGTTTTACCACGTTGCTTTCCATTATATTCTATTAACGCTTCTCTTTAAATTCCAAAACATATAACGTACAAGATTAAATAATGAAACGTCCCGTAACGTAAAAAGAAAGATGCAAACACCGTGCGTAAATATCGAAATAGTGCAGTTAGTTTGTGTGACGTAAGATAAAAAAACAGTGCAAAAGAAGTTTATGAATTGCAAGAAGTGCTGTAAAATAAAATTATTAAAAAATACATTCAACCCTGATTTTCCTACATGTGCGATGTTTTACACACGATGAATACGATTACTTGAAAAAATTTCATTCGTATACATTTAAGGTGCGTATAAATCAATGTTATTATCTTCTATTTAATATTAAATAATTATGACATTTTCCATACGATGTAGATTATGTTTTAATAGTTGTATTATTTTTCATTAAAATTTGAAATACTCATAAAAGTATTTGATATTATGGTCATGCTTAGAAGTATATGAGGTTAAGTTATAAGCACATGACAAATTGTGAATTTTCCCGCCGATTTTAAACTGTCATGATTACAATACTCATCTGAATATTATTTAATTGATTCCAATTAATTGGTTGATGATTTCTATTTAATTGATTATTACAAGTGTGAGTAATGGTAGAAAATATATAATGTTATACAATGAATTAAAATCGATTTAGTAGTAATTTTGTTCTATTGTTAATTATCTAGCACGTTAAAGAACAAATTTGTTAGAAATTATGTATATTCAATATTAAAAACCTTTATTTATTTTATTATTATTAATTCTTACAAATAATGAAAATATTTGTGTAATTTTCTGGTATGAGTTAGATTTACAAAAAGTTAAATGAAAGTTACTGGAAACAAATTTAGCATTTGGTGAAGGTTAAAGAGATTTTCTATTTCATTTAAATAATTTCTATAATGTATAATTTATTAAAAAATTCTATAAATTATTTTAAAAAGAACTACTCCAGGAATTTTTTAATTTTAGGACAAGTTAATTTTTATAAATTAGGACTAATGAAACTAGGTAGTTGTTAGCAAAATGCATTGAATCATATGAAATTGTTTTGATTAAGTAATATGATGTTTTAAAGTAATCTTAACTGTATTGTTAAAGTTTTATTTGAAGAAAAGAATATTTCATATCCTGAATGAATCTAATAAATTGTGTGTGTTATAATATCATAATTAACATTGTTATCAACATACATTTACATTTAAATGATTTCTTAATTTTTTTCAGATAAATCTAATTTAATTGTATCAGTTAAGTATCTACTGCTAGCTACTAATCATAATCACTACTTTTGAACTGCAAGTTTGTTTTACTAAGCTTCAAATATACATTGATATTGTTGATGCAGTTCTATGTAGATATGATAGACAAAACCAAAAGTTGTCGTATGGTGAGTATAATACAATACTTTTAACATAAAATGCATTATATCTCTATAACATTACCTCAACAATATTACTCATTTTTATAGCCAAAATATCATTTCAGAAAATGTACTTATTGCCTTTTCTCTTACCATTAATTACCTAATGATTCATAGCTTTATTATTGATATAAATATCAAATAATGAATATTAAAATGCAATGAATTGAATTGGGTTAAACAAAATTGTATAGGTATATATTATTTGTAGAATTATTTCATCATATAATAAAATTTTAAGAGTATATAATTTATTTGTTTATAATGAGTGAAATAAATGAACTTCAATTGCCACGAAAATATGTTGCAGTATGTGTAATTCAGGTTTTGTATTGAAAGTACATATTCAAAGAGAAATTTAAGATTTCTTTTTCTTATCTATATCATTTATCTTATCTCTATTGCATGCAAGTTTTATTGGTTTCCTTTAAGTCAAACTTGTTTTATTAACTACTCTATATTTTCCTAAGGAAAAACGCAAAAATATTATATTATTCATTGTTATATATAATTTCTATTTATATTATTTATAATTACTAATGATTTAATTTATAGCAGTGTAATATTTGAAATTCCTGTAAAGAATAATTATTTTAAATACAAGAGTCAGAAATGTGTAATAAGTTTATTATGTGTTAGTTTATCATTATTTTTCTTGTTCTGTACTTAGTTTTGTTTGATATTTTTTTTTTTTTTTAGTTAGTGTATTGCTTAATATTAAGGTGAATGCATATATGTATCAAGATGGCAATGGGAAGTATTATTTGTGGAGCCAACACTCCTAAAATGAAGAGAAAAAAGGCAAAGGTATCTCATGTTTTCATTTACTCTACTTTATTTAAAAAAAGATATTTTAGTCAAACATCACATTTTACTTTACCATTTAACACTGTAAATATTACATTATTAATTTTGTAAATATATATATGTGTATATCATTTTGTAATGATAAATGAATAATTCAAATATATTTTAGGTAACTGAACGCAGTTGGATAGAGGCAACTTTTCAAAAAAGAGAATGCTCAAAATTTATTCCAAGTGCTGACGATGAACACAAGTATGTAATGTTCATTATTTTTTTATTTTTTACTTAGATATTCTTACAGAATACATTTGCATATCCCACATTATGATCAATGAGTGTTTATAATGTTAAAAATGTGCAAAAATATTTATTAAAAATTATTTTAACTTTAAACATATTTTTATGGAATACATCAAATAAATTTTTTTTCAATATATATCATTCTTGACATCATCATCATGCATTTATTGAACTTCTATGTTTATTTATTTACTTATTCTTTTGTTAAACATACTTATTGAGTATTGATAAATGGCTATATATACATATTTTGAATACATATTTCTTTAAAAGGACAATATTTTTGCAGAGGCAATATAAACAGCATAATTACATTAACAATGATGATTGTATGCTATAATTATTAATTTTAACGTTATATTATAAAATATTGCTTTTCAATGCTGATTTTTAAATATGCCTTCCATTTTTATGATTCTTACAATTATTAGTATTTTTTTACAATTGTTTATATACATACATTATTTATATACATTTACAAATATTTATTATAAAAAACTTATTTCTGAATTTTCTAGGTCACTACTAACATAATTGTTTATGTTCATTTTCCTTTCATTTACTTTTTTTTCTTTCATTCCATTTATAGGTTTATGCAAGTAAAGGGAGATAAGAATGCAGAATATGATGTGATCACCACTTCCAGGTGAGAGTTCATTGTGGGTTTTGTCAAGATTGAGAACTTTGTGTTCTTTATGAAAAAAAGAAAAAAAAAAGGATAGGTGACTTAACAAAGATATTTAATATTGCTTCTGCAAATATATATCAAAATTATATTCCAAAATAGTATTATATGCATTTCCCTAATATGTAAGCTAAATAATATTTCTCCTTTAAAGAGAAAATAATAATTTATATACTATTTTCCACATCTTTGAGTAGTCATTAATAAAGTACTGTTACATTACATGCATTCTATACAGTTCTCAGCAATAATGGTTTGTACTAAAAGAGCTGTTAGACTCTAAGTTTTCGTAGCATACATAAAATCTGCACCAAAATTGCATTATATAATCATTGAATTGCTTCTTTTTGAGAAACCTCACTGATAAAATTTTATTTTAAATTTTCTTTTTGTTTACTGCTTTTCATAAAACATCTCATTTTCTCTTAGAGTTCATATCCATTACATCATGCAGCCAAGTAATCAAATCGTATATTTATACAAATATTATTATGGTAATATTATAATTCATAGTATTTGGACAATAATTACATTAAGGAAACCTGTTATGAAAATAATCGTCATAAAATCTATTGTCTGTAAAATCAGTATTGTCAGTAGCTAATAGTTATTCTGATA